GGGTTGCGGTTCTAACAGATAATTCCTAGCACTCTTAACACAGAGGCAGCCCAGCAGACATGTTGTAGGATTGATAACTACTAGCTAACTGACCAGGTTTTAATGTGTAAAAGCATTACAGCATTCTATGTAGCATTCCATATACATTCCATGCAAAGTAGAATAAAATCAATAAATATTCATATAGTCCCATACAAGTATAAATCAACATCACAAAGTATTCTTGAATATTCAAACATAAACAAAGGGTATATATTGAATATTCATAGTATATGTAAATTATACTATATAAGCTTGACTGCATCAGGTGAACATTGACACCAATGAGAGAGAGAGAGATAGACAGATGAGGGATGACCTATTAATATGAAAGGGATGAATCATGGATATGAAGGGGAGTTTCAGAAGTTCAAAATAAATCCCTACACTAGCATATACATTTTGTATGTATACATAGATTTGAGGAAGATACTGCATGTATATGTTTAGGATCATTAAATAAGGTACCAGAGCTGCCAACCATTCCGTTTTTGCCGGAATTACTCCGTTTTTTCCTCAAAATTACGACATTACGTTTTTTCTTCATAAAATACGTTTTTAAATAAATTTTTAATATTTATCATTACGAAAAGCTCTCGTTAAAACTATACCCCACCACTATAACACAGCAGTGAATGTAATCTGGTGGGGTATCACTACCCCAATTTCGTTTCTCTCGTTAAAACTTTGAGAGAGCTACTACTATTACACAGGCATCAATGGGAATCTGGTGGGGTATGACTACCCCAATTTCGTTTCTCTCGTTAAAAACTTGGACAGAGCCTTGAGGCTTTGAGTGAGAGATTATGATATTGGATTGCAGCTGGACTCTTCATCATCTTACGTAATACTAGTGTAAACAAACTCTTACTGGGGCTCTGCCTGAAAGGAAATGAGAAGTAGGAAATAAGTATTCTACTTGTTTTAAGATATTTTCATGTCCTAAAGTCACTAATAATTTAGATGAAGACCAAAATGAAAGTTCGAACGAAGCAAAATGACCCATCATTGGCGATATAACAACAATTTTAACTCTGGCAGCGAACCCCTGCATGTGTCTCTTTCTCCCTTCTTCCTTCCTTTCCCCCTCTATCATGCTTATCTCTCTCTCTCTATCACCTCATCAAGGTCTCGGTGGGTGGATTACAGCGATAGTGTTTACTTAGGGCTTATCACAATCTCAGCTCTAGTAGTGGTGAAAGTCAAATGGGGGTTTCAATTTTAAACGACGACTTTTCGTCATGTTATTTTTTTTTTTTTTTTTTTTTTTTTTTTATTATTATTTTTTTTTTACATACCGCATGTCAAACAACTGCCCTAAAATGCTGATTTGATCACAAATTCAATCGAAAACTAATTTTAAAACATACTTGAAGAAAAAAATATTCTCAAAAAAAATGAAATGCCAACAGTAATACCAAAATAACCACCAAAAAAATTTCCTCCTTGTATGGAGCATGATGAATGAACATTTCTGCATTGGAAGTGTTTCGCGCGTGGTTGTAAGTTTCGTTTTTATGAATTCCTTTTTTGGGCTTCAAATTCCTTTTTTTTTGCCATCATGATTCCTTTTTTTGGTCGCACAAGGTTGGCAGCTCTGTATTACTGGTAATGCCCTTTTATTTTATACATGTATGTACTTTCTACACAGATTAGTTACGTGTACTGAGTGCCCTTTTAAAAGGTATTTTCAAATGAAAATCCATATTTCCCATACATTTTTAGAAAACATTTTAATTTGCTTGATATTATCAACTTTATATACCTGTATCATACCCGTGTCATGTACATGTACACTGGGTATTGCTTAAGTGGGTGATTTTGAGCTTTTGTAACCTACCAAATAGTTTAGATTGACCATACAATCTTTGGTTATATGACATAATTTGGAACAACCTCTGTAAAAATGAAAACGTGATGATTTGCAAACACACAGCAATGTAAATAGTAAAGGAGAGGTTGAAAAATTGAAATGTGCTATTCTCACATCTATCTTTGCCCCTCATTTGAACCAGTTAAATTATGAAAATGTCTGTTAACAGTTAATGTAACATCCGAAACGTGCTAACAGCATAACAGAAAGTGCTGTTAAAATGGCTGAATAATTTTTATGAGTCACTTTTATTGAGATTTTTTCTGATAAATTACAATTAAGGATATACTAAAGCAGCCAGGAATGCCTCGCACCACAAAGTGTGGCTTCAATATTTATGTTTTATAAGTCAATTTTGCAGAAAATTTAGATATTTTACGGAAAATTTGATTTTTTGCATCATATTTCTTCATATTTGTATATTAGATCTAAATGAAATTATCAAAATAGTGTTTTTAACAGGAGTGTGCATTGTGAAATCGTTACTTGCACATCTGATCGAAAATTAGTTGAAATTGGCAAACTATGTGTTAACAATCAAATAGTGTAACGTCCGAAACACCCTTCTTGAGTTTACACAAAATTATTGGATTTGAAAGACCTGATTTGTGTTTTGACTTGTGTTAAGACTTATAATAACTTATTTCATAATGATTTATTCACTCCAGATACCCTCAAATACGGATTATCATCACATTTTTGATATTTTTTGTTTCGGACGTTACATTTGTTTCGGACGTTACAACTGTTAACGGAAAATTGGTTTTAACTATAAAATATTATTGTAATGATGTATTGCAAATTTCTTTTTTTTGGTGGGTAGCCGCCATGAAATGTTTAACAAATGTTACGAAAGATAAGTCCTGCAGTTCATTTATTTTCTGCTACTTCAAATTGAAAGTTGTTTCGGACGTTACAAAATTGTTTACGGAAAATGAGACAACTTTTTCAAATTTTGAATATATTTATAATATAAGCGCTACTACAATTAAATTATATTTTCTTTTAATTTAATGCCTTGGAGTAACTAATAAGCTTATTCAAACCATAAACAATCTCATTAAATGATTGTTCTAGTGGGTTAAATGAGGGCCTACATTGTTTACGGAAAATGTAACGTCCGAAACACCATTTTCAATTGCACTGTTCTATCAAAATACAGGAGTAAATTCAGATTACTGTTAACTTTCTTTAAGATCCACCCATGCTCATTAATCATCGATAGCAAAAAAACATATTGCTTGTGGGTATATATTTTTTTCGGCTCCAACAAAAAAGGTATGTCAATTTTGTTACAAAATTCCGTAAACAATTGGCTGTTCAGGGATACCTCATGCACATAAAGCAACGCTGAATTGTTTTCGTTAAGCTATGGGAGGTTAACCTAGGTCCATGCTACAAGAAAAAGTTGTAACTGATTTCTAATTCTTTATCTTTGTAAAGTTTCAGGCTGTCAAAGGGTCATTAAGCTATTTGGTCATAGTTAAAAAAAACCAGTGCCTTATAGCCATCGATTGACATTTGATTGGACTTTTCTTTTCATCTTGATATGTCACAGATAATTCGATTCATATCTTGTACTAAATTTAGAGCGGAAGCATATAAGTGGCCCCATAAATAATTTATATCCTCTCTAGTGCATGGTTTTTTAAATTACCAAAAAAATGTGCCCTCATGTGTAAAAATGGACATGGACGAGTGCCAGAGTGATGCAAAATGAATATTCAATGTTGAATTCAGAATGGAGGTGACACGAAACTTGTCTTTTTTTAAAGGATGTCGTGACTAAAAAGGTTGAAAACCGTTGTGTTGGATATTAAAATGCAGAATTGAGGTGACACGAAACTTGTCTTTTTTTAAATGATGTCGTGACTAAAAAGGTTGAAAACCGCTGTGTTGGATATTAAAATGCAGATTGCATCGTTTATTATGAATTGGTTCTGTAAATATTTAAACGAAGAATTGAATGTAAATTGTAATGCTATATTGAATATTAGTTGGTAAAAGGTTATCATGAATTGCATAATTTTTTCTTAAAAACAAGATTCATGATTTCTACTATAACATAATTGTGACATTTTTTATCTTTAAAAGACGACTTCTAGTCAAGGAATGTTCATTCTTGAACTTTTGATGGCTTCTGCAAAGAAAAGATTTGGCTGAATAACATTATAGTAGTCTGTAATGAAAAAAATCTGGCTTATAAGAATTTGATAAATTTGATTAATGCATCTTTGTTAAGTGCCTCGTTACAAATTATTCCACTAGCTTCCTACGTATAATCATATTTTAATAGTAAGAATGCAAATTGCATTAATTACATGTTTTTAGCTGGAAAAAGCATGATGTATAGAATAGAGATAAAATGAAACGCCCTAATTCATGTTTATGTTTATTCAGTTACACACCACAAAAAACACCGGCTTAATTCTTAACTATTAATCAACTATTGTTACTTATATTGAATAATTTTTGATTACGAACGCAAGTTGTCTGGGTAATTAAAAAAAAACGAACTATTATTATTTATATAATTGATATGTTAAAAACTCGGGATAACAGACTTCACTAGTTGACATGTATATGGGTAGTCCAGATTATTTCCGTTTTCATATATTTGTATTCTTCAATCATCTGTGTCCTCCTACTTAAACACACCCGCACACCCCGCATAGTGCTGTGTCTCCACTGATCGCGCGATCTCCCAAAATACAACCGTCGACAAAAATTTGGTAAGAAAGAAGGCAAGGACTGTCTCTCTTTTAGCGTTGAGGTGTGTTATATTCTGAGCATATTGGGCGCGCTATACAGAAGTAGTCCAGGCAGTGGATTGGTATAGGGGTCAATGTAAATAATAAACATATATGTTGATATATCAGTCTTCATGTCGTTGACACTTGACACTAGCTATTGGAGACGTATACTTCGAAAAGTACAAACATTTCATTTGCGTTATAGACATGCGCTAATAAAGCATAATACTGCAATTATAAGACTTTGAAAGCCCCCCCCCCCCCCCCTTTGGAAAGAAATCTTAATTACATCACTTTTAAATGAACATCTTCTTGAAACCTTTTTTTTTTTGCAGCTATTTCAACAAATTCTACAATCGATGGATATGAAGGGCGCTTTACTTGCGTCAACAGTAGTCTGACCTTTGACATTGATGACGTATGTGATGGACAATACCAGTGCCCGTATTCAGATGATGAATACATTTGCGGTAAGTTATACAAATTTTGCAGGCTTGACATTGTTTGAGTTGTTGTTTTGTTTTGATACGTTACGTTGGGGATATTCCAAAGGTTCATTATTCCTAAAACGAAATGACTTAAAACAAATCTGTATCGAATTTCGGAATTACGAACCTCCGGATAAACGGATCTTCGGTATAACACAATAAATGTTCAGGTTTATAAACCCTATTTTTCTTTCTGAATCATAAACCCGTGTTAAAGGAGAATGTGTGTGAGAGAGAGAGAGAGAGAGAGAAAGAAAAGAAAAGGAACAACATTAAACTTAAATTTACACTAACAGATTACATTTCGGATGAGCTGGCTCGACATGACATGTGCCTAAGAAGTCTACGGACAAAAGTACAATACTAAAACAGAAGTTCTATACAATTCTCTTTAGGACAATAAGAGAGAAAGAGAGGTTATTTCTAAAATGAAATGAACGGGGTTCTGTGACTCTCAAGGGGGAAATTACAATTTCTATCGCTCGTGACGACTATTTTGAATTTCCTAATTTTTTTAATTCAAGAACTTCCAGGGGCTCCGCCCCAAGACTCAAGGCAAGTATATAATTGGAAAGAGTGTGAGTTGTATGTAGTTAAAGCTTCTATTAAACAACCACTCCCGTGAACCCTTTATTATTTACACAATTTCTTGCCGTCTGCTGCCTCGAGATCACTGGAGCGAATAAAGGTAATAATGTATAGCAATAATCCCCATTCAATGAAGGGTTTATCCTTTTTAAGACTCCCTGCAAAGGTTCTTCCCCCTGCACCCCACCCGTTAAGATAAAAGTGGTTCACAAGCTAACCTTTTCTCGTATAGAATTGGAGAGTGTGAGTTTTATGTAGTTAATGCTTCTAACAACAACTCCCGTGAATATTATTTTTCTGCGGAACGATTGTATAGCAGGCAATTGTTGTTTGTATCGTTAATGAATGCATACTTATGTTGGGTCCGGGGCCGTGCCCCGATGGAATGTAATTTACATAGGCAGCTCTTTCAGGTGTGCGAGTTAATTCTGCCACGAAGACCAGGGCGTGGCATCAATTAGTGTGTAATTGAATCATTCTAGCTTGAACTTTGTACTGTTCCTCATTACCACGTTTGCGGAACTTGAACACGTCCTTATTCATCTCCTCAATTTTCGCTATTTGAGATTCGCTAAGTTCTCTCACTGAGATTGTCATTAATACGCTGCTGAAAAGTTCCTTATTTATCAGAAATCAACGAATCGAGCTGGCTTAGAAGGCCCGTTTGGCTTTCTCGAATTTTTGCGCTCACGAGGTCAGCAACTTCGGCCGTCTCCATGGTTGTTGAAAGTTCAAGCTAGAATCGTGTCAGGCTATCCCACAATCATTGAAGTGTATTGTGTTATTTGTTTGCATTGGGAGTGAGGGATGACAGACGCAATAATATAAGACAGACCCTTTTATTATTCGGGACTTTTAGATTTGCACGTCGACATAGTGGACTGCTACGTGTGACGTCCTTTTTAAGGCACTGGCAGTGCCTAATTAAAAGGATGTCACACCTATAGCAGTCCACTATGTCGACGTGCAAATCTAAAAGTCCCTAATGGGCCATTTTCGTAATGTAACCAAAGTTAATGCATAAGTCTTTGTTCAAATTGCTTTGATTTCTTTCCCCGGACGCGCCAGGCGTTACATGTGCCTTCCACACGCTTTGCAAGAGAGTTCTTCTCCATTTCTCTTTCTCCCTTTCTCTCTCTCTCTCTCTCTCCCTCTATCTCTCTTTCTTGCAGTCGTTCCTCTTACTGATTCGCGCATAGCGGGTTAATTATCCGCAAATCTCAGCAATTGTAAATGTATAGCCTTTTCTTGCTTTTAATTGTTTTGTTTCATTGGTTAACACGAAAGAGGACAAGTGTTATACTCAGCAGCTTGTGCATTATTTTTAAAATTTCTATTTACGTAATGTTTCTTTTAATTGTACCTGGACCCCCAGGAAGAACAGTGTCATATATTTTTATGACACTGAACGGGCAATCCAGCCAATCATTTTTAAGCAATCTATATACACATGTACTTTTTTTTTTTTTTTTTAATTCTGTTATGTTTCATTTCGTTTTATGTCATATGTTATTTGTCTTTTTAATATGATTGGAAAATAAATACAAAAAAGTGCCTCAATACAAATTATTTCATTTACCTGATAAGAATAATAGTATTTCAAAAGTCAGAATGCAAACTGCATATATTAAGTGTTGCTAGGTAGGTCAAGCATAATGTTTGTCCAACCTGACAACAACTAATGTATGCAGCTCGGATTCTGTCTATTGAAATACTAATATTCTTATCAGGTGAATGAAATAATTTGTATTGAGGCACTTCACAAAGACTTATGCATTACATTTGGTTACATTACGAAAATTACCTTTTACACAATTTCTTGCTATCCGCTGCCTCGAGATCACTAGAGCGAAGACTGAAAGGTAACAATGTATATCAAGAATCTCTATTCAGTGAAGGGTTTTTGACAAAAAAGACGTACATTTTCTTGTAGACAAAAGTCTAAGGCGATTTTCTCAAAATTAAAAACTCCATTAAAGGAAGATTGCAGCGGCCAGGCAATCACGTTTCAGACCACCTTGGGCAAAACAGGATGGACCTGAAACAACGCGGGGAGATGAGAAACTTAGAGTAGGCCATAGTAAAACGGGGTGAACGCAACAAAACGTGACAGTACGTAATACAAAAAACTGAGCAAGACCTAACAAACTTGAATACGGAGGAAAATGGCCAAAATCCCACGGCGCACTACGCTTTGGGCAAACGGGGTTACCGTGGACGCCGGGAACTTAAAGCCCAAGTCCACTCAAAAATAACTTACTTTCAATAGAAGCAGGAAAATCAGACAAACCGATCAAAATAAGTCTGAGCAAAATCGGATAACTAATAAGAAAGTTATGAATTTTTAATGACATTAAAAACTTCGAAAATCACTAGAAATACTAATATTCTTATCAGGTGAATGAAATAATTTGTATTGAGGCACTTCACAAAGACTTATGCATTACATTCGGTTACATTACGAAAATTACCTTTTACACAATTTCTTGCTATCCGCTGCCTCGAGATCACTAGAGCGAAGACTGAAAGGTAACAATGTATATCAAGAATCTCTATTCAGTGAAGGGTTTTTGACAAAAAAGACGTACATTTTCTTGTAGACAAAAGTCTAAGGCGATTTTCTCAAAATTAAAAACTCCATTAAAGGAAGATTGCAGCGGCCAGGCAATCACGTTTCAGACCACCTTGGGCAAAACAGGATGGTCCTGAAACAACGCGGGGAGATGAGAAACTTAGAGTAGGCCATAGTAAAACGGGGTGAACGCAACAAAACGTGACAGTACGTAATACAAAAAACTGGGCAAGACCTAACAAACTTGAATACGGAGGAAAATGGCCAAAATCCCACGGCGCACTACGCTTTGGGCAAACGGGGTTACCGTGGACGCCGGGAACTTAAAGCCCAAGTCCACTCAAAAATAACTTACTTTCAATAGAAGCAGGAAAATCAGACAAACCAATCAAAATAAGTCTGAGCAAAATCGGATAACTAATAAGAAAGTTATGAATTTTTAATGACATTAAAAACTTCGAAAATCACTAGAAATACTAATATTCTTATCAGGTGAATGAAATAATTTGTATTGAGGCACTTCACAAAGACTTATGCATTACATTTGGTTACATTACGAAAATTACCTTTTACACAATTTCTTGCTATCCGCTGCCTCGAGATCACTAGAGCGAAGACTGAAAGGTAACAATGTATATCAAGAATCTCTATTCAGTGAAGGGTTTTTGACAAAAAAGACGTACATTTTCTTGTAGACAAAAGTCTAAGGCGATTTTCTCAAAATTAAAAACTCCATTAAAGGAAGATTGCAGCGGCCAGGCAATCACGTTTCAGACCACCTTGGGCAAAACAGGATGGACCTGAAACAACGCGGGGAGATGAGAAACTTAGAGTAGGCCATAGTAAAACGGGGTGAACGCAACAAAACGTGACAGTACGTAATACAAAAAACTGGGCAAGACCTAACAAACTTGAATACGGAGGAAAATGGCCAAAATCCCACGGCGCACTACGCTTTGGGCAAACGGGGTTACCGTGGACGCCGGGAACTTAAAGCCCAAGTCCACTCAAAAATAACTTACTTTCAATAGAAGCAGGAAAATCAGACAAACCGATCAAAATAAGTCTGAGCAAAATCGGATAACTAATAAGAAAGTTATGAATTTTTAATGACATTAAAAACTTCGAAAATCACTAGACAAATTGGCAACTCACTCCTGAGTCTGGGACGTCATGTCCTCACTATCCACTAATTAATTTATTTATATTGATGATATAAATTTCCTATTTTCTCCTTAAGAATCTTTTTTCTTCACACCAGGATCCAAGTTAGATTAATAGTAATATGTTTTTGTGTGGATGCACTAATATAGACTAATTTTTTTTCCAGCTAAATCATGAAAAATGTGAATTTTGATAAACAATTTATATCAAAATCAATAATTATGAATAAACAATATTCAGAAAATAATATAAATTCTTCAAAGTTCATAAAAGATTATGTGAAATGTCATACACGCAATATGATACAAATCATATAACCTGGGCAAAGGCTTGGGGAAATCAATTTTCGGGGAATAAAAAGGGAAATTAATGGGATTCAACCATATTATTGATAAAAAGTGAGGACATGACGTCAACAACTGATAACCATCTTGGCAATTTGTTTTGTGATTCCCATTGTTCCATAGTTTTACATACTTTTTCAAAAATTCATCTACAAAGCGGCAGATCACCTAATTCGTCGCCCTGACGAATTCGATGTCTAGTTATTATTATCATTATTAAGTAAACATCGATGTTTTCATTTTTCTTTGTCTGGCCCAAGCTCTCCAAGGGGTGACCCGACATAAGGTCTTGCGATAATTGTTTAAAGAGAAGGTTGAGTTCTGGGAAGAGGTCAGGGGCGTAAATCCGTACCGAGGAGTGGGGGGATGATCGGCGATAACTAGCAAGAGCACACGCCCACACTAATCTACGCAAGCGCGCGCGATCGCGCACGCACAAACACACAACAAAGACACACACACACACACTCGCACACACGCTCGCTCATTAGGGGTGTGTGGGTGATAGGCCTAAATAGGCCGCGGAAGCTTAGACGTTTCCTTAAATTATTAGTAAAAGAAGACGATTTATTGTACCGTTCTCTACTGTTAACCCTTGTCTGAATGAATCCCCCCCCCCCTCCCGCGCGAAGCGCAAAAGCTTTGGCGTTTCATTAAATTATTATAAAAAGGAGACGATTTGCTGTACCGTTCTCGACTGTAAATCCTTGTCTAATTCAGTTCCCCCCCCCCCCGTCCCGCGCGGAAGTTTTGGCGTTTCATTAAATTATAAGAGAAAGTAGACAATTTGTTAAACCGTGCTCGACTCTTAATCCTTGTCTGAATTCAGTTTCCCCTTCCTGCGCGAAGCGTGAAAAGCTTAGACGTTTGATTTAATTATTATAGGAAGAAGACGATTCTTTGCACCATTTTCGACTCTTAAAAAGCCCTATTTATCTGAATTCAGTTCCCCCCTCTCGCGCGAAGCGCGGAAGCCTTGACGTTTCCTTAAATTATTAGAGAAAGCAGACGATTGGGTGTACTGTTTTCGACTCTTAATTCTCGTCTGAATTCAGTTTCCCCTTCCCGCGCGAAGCGCAAAAAGCTTAGACGTTTGATTTAATTATTATATAAAGAAGACGATTCGTTGCACCGTTTTCGACTCTTAATAAGCCCTATTTATCTGAATTCAGTTCCCCCCCCCCCTCTCGCGCGAAGCGCGGAAGCCTTGACGTTTCCTTAAATTATTAGAGAAAGCAGACGATTGGGTGTACTGTTTTCGACTCTTAATTCTCTTCTGAATTCAGTTTCCCCTTCCTGCGCGAAGCGTGAAAAGCTTAGACGTTTGATTTAATTATTATAGGAAGAAGACGATTCTTTGCACCATTTTCGACTCTTAATAAGCCCTATTTATCTGCATTCAGTTTCCCCCTCTCGAGCGAAGCGCGGAAGCCTTGACGTTTCCTTAAACTATTAGAGAAAGCAGACGATTGAGTGTACTGTTCTCGACTCTTAATTCTCGTCTGAATTCAGTTTCCCCTTCCCGCGCGAAGCGCGAAAAGCTTAGACGTTTGGTTTAATTATTATATAAAGAAGACGATTCGTTGCACCGTTTTCGACTCTTAATAAGCTCTATTTATCTGAATTCAGTTTCCCCCTCTCGCGCGAAGCGCGGAAGCCTTGACGTTTCCATAAATTATTAGAGAAAGCAGACGATTGGGTTTCGATGGAATTAGTAATGTTATTTTGAAAGCCATTATTCCTTTTATTGTCGACCCATTAGTCCATACATTCAATTTATCATTACTGCATGGTGAATTTCCTGATTCCATGAAACTAGCAAAAATTATTCCCCTATTAAAAAAAGGTGATAAACTTGAAATAGGTAATTACAGGCCAATCTCCTTGTTATCTTCATTTTCCAAAATCTTGGAAAAAATAGTATTTACTCGAATGATTGCTTTCCTGAAGAAATATGATATTTTATCCAACTTTCAGTTTGGTTTCAGGGAAAAACATAGTACTGTTCATGCTTTAATGTCTTTTGTTGAAAAAATTGCCCATTCAATTGACTCGTCTTCTCACACAGTTGGTATTTTCCTGGACTTCTCCAAGGCCTTTGATACGATCAATCACGAAATTTTACTTTACAAACTCGCCAATATTGGTGTCCGTGGAAAGGCCTTGGAGTGGTTCAGGAGCTACCTTTCTAACAGAAGACAATTTGTGTTTTTAAATGAGCAGGCATCTGATTTTAAAAATATTACTTGTGGTGTTCCGCAAGGGAGTCTTTTAGGCCCGCTATTGTTTATTATTTATATAAATGATTTTCATAAATCATCCAATGCTATGTCATTCATTTTATTTGCTGATGATACTAATTTTTTTTTCTTCACACAGTGATCCAAATATTATTGTTGATGTAATTAACGCAGAGTTGCGAAAAATATTAGAATGGATTAGAGCTAATAAATTGTCATTGAATCTCTTGAAGACGAACTACATATTGTTCAGTAACTCCTTAACATCATTACCCACTGATATTATTCTTGACAACACCCTCTTGAGCAAGTTTCTCATACAAAATTTGTAGGTGTTGTGGTTGATAGTAAACTATCCTGGAAACTCCACGTTGAAAATATTTGTAAAACTATATCTCGCAATGTTGGTATCATTAACAGACTTAAATCACACCTTCCACAACGATCTTTGCTTATGCTTTATTCTTCTCTTATTTTACCATACTTAAATTATGGACTTCTGCTTTGGAGAAACACGTACCAAACATTGGTGGAAAAAGTTTTATTACTACAAAAGAAAGTCATTCGTATCATATGTAATGCTCCTTTTCTTGCCCATACGGATCCGCTGTTCCTTGAACATAATATCCTAAAAATTAACGATCTATACTTATTATATCTAGGTGAATTTATGTATAAATTCAATTCTGGTACTCTTCCATTTGCGTTTCACGATATGTTTAAACAAAATCGTACATTTCATAAATATCCCACAAGACAGTCAGAAGAATTTCATTTACCTTTTTTGAGAACATTTTTCGCACAAAAAACATTCATCTTTGAAGGCCCTAAATTTTGGAATACTTTGCGTGTTGATTTGAAAAACTCCCCTTCTCTCTCAGTCTTTAAAAGAAATCTAAAGAAATCTTTACTGGCCCCGTACAAAACCTAGCTCCTTGTTATATTGCCTGTGTATATTATATGCAGGAATTTTCATGATTATTACTATTGTCATTATTTTAATTATGATCATTATTGTTGAGATTGTATTATGTTCTCCAGAGAACTCGTCACCACTCGTTTACCAAGTACTTCCTCTCATTGAACTGTTCTTCTTTTTTTGAAAATTTGATCTTGCGCGCAACCTTCATTCTGTTTGTTATCACCTTTCATCTATTTCTGTAGTCCACATGCAAACCTTTTCTCTTTACTGTATCCCTTCTCCTCTCACACTCTCCTTGTTTTCTTTGTACATTGTTCGTGTTATGCGTATTGTTTTGTTTCTCCTTTTGTGTCCTCTCTGTTGGCAATTATCCTTATTTTACTCATGTAACTTACTATTATTGAATACTACCACCCGAGGGGTCCACGATTTACAAGCATCGCTTCACAGTGGACCTCTCCGTTTCCAGCTTAACATTAATACATTATTTTAAGCAGCAATATTTCTTGATATTCAAATATGTAATTCTGTTAAATTCATATTTTGTATTGCATGGTTACTACTTTGATTGTTTATTGTAATGATATTTCTATGAATACTGTATTCTTTTGCTGGAAATGAGAAAAAATAAAATTGAATTGAATTGAATTGAATTTATCTGAATTCAGTGACATACTGTATACGTGTAGGCTATACATAACTCATTTCTCATGCATTATGCTGCAATTGAAACAATCACATTTTTTTCTTCTTCTTCTTTTTCTTCCTTTTTTTCCCCCTCTTATAATTTTTGTAATATCAGGGGGGATGATTGTACAGGCCATCCCCCCCTACTTCAAACCAGGGGGGATGCAGCCCCCCCCCCATCCCCCCCCCCCCGGGATTTACGCCCCTGGAAGAGGTGAAAATAATTTGTGAGCGTTATCATTCTTATTATGCAAGTGTGGAAGAACATCAGATATAAAGACATGTTCCCTAAAAAGCATGGCTCTTTAAATGCCTTCATATTCTAAATATGTCATGTAACATCGTAAAACTCCAGGGTAGGATTTTTACGCCACTTGTTCGTGTAGTCCCATTTACATCTTTCTGTGTACAGTGTTTGTAACTTTACCAAGACTTGGCCAAATTTCTTATCATTTTGATGATTCCAGAACCTTGCAATACACACAAATTCTTACATGCTCGGACGATTCCGCACCGTTTCTTTCACAATGCAATCGCATGACCAGAACTCAACTTCATCTTTAAGGCTTCATTTTGTCATATATGTCAAAGGTATATGGTTATACCTTAGTCACACAAGGAGACCGATCCGAGACCGACAACAGAATGAACAATGCATTACAAGACCGCCGATTACCAAGTATCAGTCGGTTTAGTGTCGGCTTGGAGTCGCTTTGGAGATGTGAGGTTTTAGGGTTAGGGTATAAATGATACGGTCACAAAGGTTCGTACGAACGATAATTTCGTACGAATCTCCCTGTTTTTCCATTGTCTTCCCGAATTTCCATTGACTGAAATCGTTCGTACGGTGTTCGTAGCAGTTCGTAATGGCATTTGTGACCGAGGCATAACGTTTGGGTTTTAGGTTTGGTTTCGGGTTAGGATTAGGTATAGTCTGTGGTGGGTCCATTTTTGAAGGTAGGAATTCGGTTAGTATAGGAGATTGTCGCGGAGCTGTCGCGAAAGCAAGTGTCGCACAATATTGTCCTGGGACGGCCGCAAACTAGATTTTATCATGCATAATGCACTTATTTTTTTGTGTAGAAATGTCATGATTGTCTTTCTCTTTTACGCCGCCAGATAATGAATATTGCAGTTCAGCAGAATACATGTGTGACTACGAAGATTCGTATGAATGTATACCACTGGACTATGTTTGCGATGGATATGCTGACTGTGAACAGAACGGCATCGATGAGATATTATGCGGTAAAGTCTGATTTGTTTGCAAATTGTTATTTCGTATAGAAATCCACATCCTTCTTTACTCACAATAATGATACATGTATAATAATGATAATAATGATGATGATGACTATGATGAACAAACAATAATAATTATACGATAATGATGATAATATCAATAATAATAATAATAATAATAATAATAATAATAATAATAATAATAATAATAATAATAATAATAATAATAATAATAATAATAACAATTAGAAGCAGATTTTGCGCCTCTTCCAGAGGATACAAGGCGCTGTCCCTTAGTCTATGAACGAAATAAGAAGACCTACAGAAGTATGTTTTCACATGTTTTTTAAGAAGTCAAGTGAATTACTATTTCTTAGAAATGAAAGAAATTTGTTATACAGTGTGAGTCAGAAAAAAAGTTTACACCTAGAAAGTTGCTAATTATTTTAAAAATCATCTATGAAAAGTTAATTATTATACATCATACGAAATCCCTAACAAAATTAATCATGCCACACATATCAAATATTGAATTTCAAATATCAACGAGCATTTGTGCTAGTGTGTGTGTGCGTGTGTGACTTTGCTTCTGCAAAGACCATATGCAATGCATTTCATTTGAAACATTCATTTCATTCTCTCACTCCGCTAATCCCAACATAATACATGCTGTAGGCATCACTTTGGCGCAAGTCGATTTTTGGACTTTCGCAAACAATGCCACCTGTTCATCTAAGCGTGAACACATACAGTGTACCACACCAAAATAATTCCAAACGATTTGAGATATGACACCCTTTCATAAGATGTATAATAATTTACTGTTCATTGATGATTTTTTAAATAATTAGCAATTTTCTTGGTGTAAACTTTTTTTGGCTCACACGGTATAGGCATAGAGCAACGGATTCAAAGGATTTGAAGCCAGTCTGTTTTCGGGATTTGGGAGTGAGAAAGGAAGGAGTTAAGCTTGATCTATAAAGGAGATAAATAGACGAAGTACATTTACTGTTGATGTAGATTTATAAGTGTACGATTACGTGGTATTGAAATATAGTTAATAGTCATATATCAGTAAAAGACACCATTGTTTCTCTTTTTTAAAGATCCGCTAGATTGCGTGCCGTCTTGTCGATGTTCTGCTTACAGTGTATCTTGTGAAGGGCGTAACATTGTTGATGATACCAACATTACAAAATCATCAAGAGATCTGTAAGTTAGAGGAGAAACTACATCTTAGAATTTTCGCTAACCCCCTAAATTCTTCATTTTTCAAGCAATATGAAAACATGAATAACATTAGCAACACGTCGTGTGTCTGTAGAGGTTGGTTATCTTGACAGCTGATTTGAAAATGCACCATTTTGATGAATTTTAGAAGCACATTTCAACGATCTTTAAGACCTATGTTGGACAGTATTATACAATATTCTTTGTTAAATCCAAAGGCACACGTGACAGCCTTTATTTTTCTTAAGCCTCTTTCTTTCTTCTTCTTCTACTTCCTCTTCTTCTTCTTTGCAGATATTTTATTGGGCAATCGATCAACGGAACGAAGATGCCATTATCGATGCCATTCAACGTGACAACATACCCGCTTTTACTACGATTGTAAGGAACACAAAGCTAGCGCTTAGTAAAATATTCATTAGAGTATTTTAGAATTTTGTAGTTTATATATATATATATTGAATATCAAAATATGACCAGTCCTAAATAAATCCAAACTACTACAACAAATTCAGAACAAAAAACATAAGTCTACAAAATACTGCAAAAAACACCACTTTTAAGTCTGTTTCAGTGAACAATGAATTTCCATATTATGGACAATAAATCAATTCAATTCAATTCAGTTTTGTGCTTCCAAATTTATAAATTATATAGCAAACAAGTATACTCTTTTAGACAAAGGGAGAAAACTAAAATTTGACTATCCTGACCAAATAGACCTTTATTGAGCTCCATCTAAAAACCACACTATGCGAATTTTGGGGTGGTTATGTGGTATGTGGTCTTCTGATTCTTTCAAAACTCATCTCAAAACATTCCTTTTCAAGTCTTGATCGTTTTTCCTGTTTACACGCGCCTTGAGCACTCCACAGAGTGGATTTGGCGCGATATAAGTTACATTATTATTATTATTATAATATGTTGATCGTTTCCTTTCTGAATTTTGGGTTTTCGAGCTGTTTACCTCCGTCAGGTATCTACATTTATCGAAACGTTCTGTTTCGGCCTACGAAGAACTATCATAATCACCCCAAAGGCTAAGAAACCTAATTGACGTCTATTATTAATAAGGAATTCCATATACTTATCATGTCTTGACTTGCAGAAATATTTACAACACCGGACTAAGGGAACTTCTTCGAGCGGATTTCCTGACACTGACAGAAATCAGAATGATGTAAGTTTTATTAATGTTTATATTACCATGAATCAATATGTAACTGAAAATAGTTTATAGGCAAATGCGAGTGTGAGATTTGTAAAAAAAGAGAGAATTGTAAATGGCAATAAAACTATGCACAGGGGAAGGTGATTAATATTAAGACGAAGAATGATAATAAAAATAGTAAAACTAAAATTGATAATTATAATAATAATAATAATGCTAATGATGATAGTGATAATGGTGATAATAATAATGATAATAATAATAATAAAGATTATAATATCTACATCTATTCAACAAAAACTCGTAGATCCTAATCAAATAATTGGCCAACCACGTGTGATTAATTTCATCAGACTATCACACGTTATTTTCTTCATTTCATGAAAAAACGTGCAGTAGTTTCTAGTACTATCCAACGATTTAAAGTACACGATGCATAGCAGGGCGCGTTGAGGTTTGTGTGCTTATATCTTGTAGGGGCCCAAACTTGAGTAGCACTGCCCGTAAATGTGTATAGAGGTATATAATGCGACTATTTCTGAGTACACGCTAAAGTAAGCCTATTGGACTTTTTATTTATCCCGATTATTTATTCTTCAGTGACAATGACACGAAACAATGAATTAGTTTTACATCAAAGGTGCATGTTTTCATTCGTTCATTAACAATATATCTGCTCTTGTTGAAACTGTTTATGCACCTATAGCCTGACAGCTTCTTACGATATATGCATACAGCCTCAACTCGAGTGTGGATAGAGCATAATAATGCATCAATTGTAAACTATATTGCCCGCATATCCATTCCCTGGAAAGATCACGGTGCCTATTATTAATAGTCACGGTGCCCTGGCTTTTATCCTAGTTGCCCATGGGCGCTAGTAACGTTAAGTTAGTAACACGCTCCTCCAGATTCACCCCTGATATCTCATCTTGCTCATTGAAATGCTTACTACTAATAACAATAAAACAAAATAATAATGCACTTTGTAGTGCATCTTCAAAGTTCAACTACGATTTGCAATTATGCTAAACAGAGCAGGTAAGTTTCGAAATATTTTTTTTAGGTATTGAAAGATTGGGTAGAGATTGGAAGAAGCTTTGGTAGAATTTTAGTCCGACCTGTCTTTCACTGAGTAAACGGTTGACCCGACGTAAATTATCTAGATCACCGAATTAAAATCTCTTTTGTTCTGTATATGAAATTTTCTAATCACTTTTTCAGGATATTACAGTACAATAACATATCTCGGATTGAGGATCTTAGTTTCAGCAATTTGAACAAGTTGACCATGCTGTGAGTATGAAAAAAAATCATTTGAATAAAGTATGTAATGTATACAATTTAATGGTTTTTATAGAGCACCAATCACCGAGGGAAAATGCTGTTTGGCTAGAATGTAGAAAATCAACCTTAACAAATAAATTGCACTCCATTTAAGGAGTATGAATAAAATAATAGATATTATTATTATTAGTAGTAGAAGCTTTATACAGAGAGAATTTATTTTTCATACCTTTTCACATAATACAAACAATGACAGACAATAATAAACGTAATGATATTACAGAAATGAGCATTTAAAGCCCCACTATCCTACTTGTAGCTACTTGCTCCCTCTATATAGAAAACTTCCCCAATCGTTGGTCCCCATGATCCTCTTTTTCTTATGTTAGTTGAGAGTTAAGTTTATGAGATAGCCACCTGTCAGTGACCTCGCTGTGTGGTCTTATCCCTTCTGGCCAAGTAGTATTGACGGTCTTTAAATATCTTTGACATTGTTTTTGGTCATTGTAATGCAAAAGGATTTGGTTACAGGAACCTGAGTCCGACTTTACTTGTGAACGCGTGCGTCAACTAGTCAACTCAACAAGTCCCTTTACTGTTACTTGAAGTCCATTTCAAACTGCAATTATGCCTTTCTATAAGAAATATTTGAAGATCATATTTTGAATACAGTATAGAATTTCTTGCACCGAGAGCAAAACCTTTGTCGTTGATTGAACCACCTAGTAATTGTATTAGTTGTATTAATACATCCTTAGTAACATTTTTAACGGTTCTCTTTTGCCTACAGGGATATATCTTACAATATCATTGGTTCATTGTCGAATAATACCTTTACCGGTTTGAACAGTCTGACAAAAATATAAGTTTTAACAATCAACTTTCTACTCATAAGCTTAGTTTTTTTAAGGCATATATTACATGCGTGCCTTTAAATTTTCCTCTCAATAATTGTACATTAATCAGTTTTTAAATGTTGGAAAACATTTTCTATTTCCAGCAAACGATCACTGTTTAGCGTACTTGAATGGACTAAAAATGGATAATAAAAATATTTAAATTTCGCAATGTCCAGATGTTCGAAATCATATTTGTTAAACGTAAATTCAAGACACGGTCTGAAAGTTCCTGGAATGATCTACATATTTTAATTTGTGATAGGGAACCAATGCGGAAGTAGAACATTTAATAGTCAATTTAAGATTATGGATACAATTCAGGAATTGCGGTGTGCTAAATGTTTATAAATTATATAGCATTTTATCACAAAGCCTACATCTCTTGCTTAGTTTTTTAATTTTATTCGTCATACTCATCCTTGATAATACTTCTACCAAATAAATGACGATAGTGATAACGATGGTACATAATGGTTGTACGCATATTCGTGTGCGTGCGTGGGAGTGCATGTGTGTGTGTGTGTGTGTGTGTGTGTTTAAGTGTATGTTATGAACTCTTCTCTCTTTTGCCTTGCGGGGATTTGTCTCACAATGTTATTAGATCATTGTCAAATGATACCTTTATAGGTTTAACTAGTCTGACAACTATGTGAGTAAAATAATATTTTGTCTATATATATATTTATTGTGTCAATTTAGCAACGGTAATAGCAACTATTGAATCATAACATAACTTTATAAAGAAGTGAGCACTAATTGTAATCATTGTATGATATTCTGTTCTCCATTTTCTACTACTGCCATATGCTAATTACAATTAAGCCTAAATATTCCATGTTTGGAGGATACCATAAATTCTACAATTATAATTTAATGGCAATCAAGTTCGTTATATTTCTCCAATTTAAAAAAAATACATCTATTAAATGGGACGAAACTATGACAGATCTAATTTTCATAATTGACAGATTGTATGTATAATTTTTTATTTTTGCAGAGACCTGTCATACAATAGTATAACACGGATTGAGGATTTCAGTTTCCGTGATTTAAACAAATTGACATCACTGTAAGTGTCCATAATACTTTAAAAGCGTTACGTTCTACTTCGCTTGAGTATGTTTTTATCAAGAATAATCATGATAATTATCGGTGAATGACAAATTTACAAACTATTCAAATTGAATGCGTCGTCGATTTTATTCGCTGTATATCTACTTTAATGCTATTATATTAAATGATATTGAAGGGTAGATAAGTTACCACGGATAATGATAGTATATAATAGCAAAAATTATAATAAATAATAGTAATAATAATATATGAACATAATATACACTGTTAGTCATAATGGTGGAATAATTATTTTTACCTCAATTTGTTGAATCATTTTGGCAATGATTTATTCCTAATAGATCTAGATAATAGTATACATTCTTAGATTTTATTGAATGACAATTGGGGAGTGTTTGTTTTGCGTGACTGCTAAAGCATGTGTGCTACTATGCTAATCAACTAGGGGACCTACGTCCGTAAGTCATAACTGACAGTAATGGGGATTAATGCCTCATAAAAGTGCACTAATATAGCATATCGACACGGTTTTGATCCTGGGGGCTCACAGTAACGAGGCCATTGCTTAGCCAATAAATCATGACTGTACGCAGCGGGTGCTAGGGTACGTCGACGCCCCCACAAAAACAAAAAAACAAAGAAAATGCAATACATTTTCAATAATTCATTGTATTTTGCCCCGACCCCAACATAATTTGTTTTCTTCTATGTGGGCATGCCTTGAACCATAATGCATGGCCCTACAGAGGAATTTTTCCTGTTAGGGACTGGGGGAAAATGCAATGAGTTATTGAAAATTTATTGCATTTTTTTTTTTTTCTTTTTTTTGTGGGGGCGTCGACGTACCCTAGCGCCCGCTGCGTACAGTCATTTGATTCATTCATTGGCTAAGCAATGGCCTCGTTACTGTGAGCCCCCAGGAACAAAACCGTGTCGATGTGCTATATTAGTGCCCTTTTTATTTTCCTCTTCATCTCTCTCTCTCTCTATCTCCCACTATCCCTAGCTGACTCTGTGTTTACCATTCACTGTAAATACATAAAGTTAATTAATTCTCCTTTCTCTATCTACAGGTATTTGTCTCGCAATGTGATTGAATCATTGTCGAGTGACACATTTTCCGGTTTGACTAGTCTTACAGAAATGTGAGTTTAATAATTGATAATAATAATACCATTATTAATAATAATATTAACAACGATAATGATGGTCATGAACAAGATAGTGATGATAATATTATCAGTGGTAAAAAATGATAATAATGATATTAACACTAATTAAACAGACGTTTCAATACAATCTTACAGCACATTGCTGTTCATATCATCTTTTTAATAATGATATTAATATTTTGTCCATTGTCATATATTAAGGCTGTACACGATTAGTCCGAAAGTACCAACTTTCACACATTTTACAAACTATGTTTCACTCGTGATTTTTTGTTCTCGTCAATTTCAGAAAGAATTTTTGTTGTTATTTTAAGAAAAGGGATTTTTCATATCGCTAAGTTATAATTTTACCTAATTAATTGTGATTTTCTGAACGTGGGGAAAATCATATTCCTTTTTGTATACATTACTTCTTTTCTTTTTTTCTCCGAATAACGTTAAAGTCCTATACAGTCAAACCTGTTAATTAAGACCATACAAGGGAAACACAAAAATGTATCCACTGTAGACAGAACGCCTTTATAGAGTGGTAGCCACTAAGACTGATTTAACTGCATGTACGTTTTGTTTTGTTTTGTTTTTATCTAGAGACCTGAGGTTCAACAGAATTGCGGTTTTACCAGCGCGCGTTTTCAAAGCTTTTCACTTGGAAGACCTGTGAGTAAAGTAATCTAGCCCTCCCTGTCTCCCCCCCCCCCCCCCTCACGAAAAAAATAAATGGGTAGATATTCTACAATGAGCCTTGTCGTGACTTTTAAATTTTTTTTTTTTAATCGAATCATCTTAAGAGAGTTGGGGAAAGTTTTACCCCTATCGGGTAAACAAACCGGAATATTCGTGTTTGTTTCCAACAGAGGCTAAAGTAAGAACAGTCTCCTAATATTATTTATTTATCTAGAGTAATCATAACGAAATATTTTCAGACTTCCATAAAATATTAACTGTGCCTTTTTAATACACTTCTTCATCTACGTTTTTCACTATTTCTATTGCGCTGAAGTACCTTGTTTTGTTTTATTGATACTTTTTCAGTTTCAATCTTCAATTTATATATGTTTCCAACAAAACATTACAAATCAATTATAAATATTTACAACAATTTAGGAATACATATTGGAAACAGAGGGGTCCACTAAAAAGCAATACTTGTACAAGTGTGCATAAACGCTGTATGTGTACATTTTATATGATATTTGACGTGACCGATTGTGCATACTATCGCTACGCTTTTTAGGGAATAAAAGACATATCATACTCAACTTTGATTTAAACACAGCGTGGCGTGATAAGCCTTTCTTAATTTCCCTTTATTAAAACTTGACTATTTTTTTTTTAATTGGTGATTTTCCTATGTGAACTTACTAATTATCTTTCTTTTCTGCTTTTCTTTTGTAAGGCTTTAAAAAAAAAAATTGTTATATATGTTTTTGTTTCATATATCTTTGTTATTTTTAAAATTTTCTTTTTTAAAATATTTTTTTTAAATTTTAGATATTGCTTTATTGTCTAAAATAAAATCTCTCGTTGTTTTACAATTCAACTTTGAGTTTTTAATTGTCTGCTTTGATTTTTGTAATTTTAGACTTATTGATCACGCGGGAATCATAGAACTGGAACCGGGATGCTTTCAAGGATTGGAGGCCCTTCAAAATTTGTAAGAAAGATACTACTATCACTGTATATTGTACAAGGTTTTCGGCGGGCGTTCCACATCGACAGTACTGCCCTTGTGCAGATAAAAGTCGTCCGTACTAAACTATGAAACCCATTAAAGGTAAAGACCAGTTATGGTCATGCGATTGCATTGTGAAAGAAACGTTGTGGAATCGATCAGAAAAGGTTGATCATCTAGCATATAAGTATTGGTGTGTACTGCAAGGTTGTGGAATCATCAAAATGATAAGAAATATGGCCCAGTCTTCGTAAAGTTACAAGCACTGTACACAGAAAGATGTATATGGGACTATACGCACACATGCGCGACACGTGCGTTTATCTCTCACAGACCATGTAGATAAACTAATTTACCCAATATATCAATTAGTAAGCGGTTTCCCGGCAAAATTTGTATCATGTATTAGTCAAAACATATTCTTTCACATGATTGGTAATAAGAGCTTCCATTTCATTTTTTGAATATGGGGCGTTTCCAATACTGGTCTTTACCTTTAAGACGACTGCTGGACAAGTGTTCGTGAAAGTTTCGTAATAATTATTCATTTAATGCCCAGCCATTCTATGACACACAGGTGCAAGTATTATTTTCAAGAGGTGAAACACCATGTAGGCTTATTCATGAATAATGTCTATCCCTTTTGTCTGGATCATTTTATAAATACACAACGTAAAAAGTATCCTTATTTAGATATTCAGGGGTCATTTGTACAAGTGCCAGCTCGGGAGTGGCTTTTTTTTCTCGTAACAGGGATCATCGACTATTTGGTCCGTATTCTACTTATTTAGTTAAACACCAGGCTTGGTCTATGCCAATGTTTAAGAAAGGGACAACTAAGACCTCAGACGAAATTCCTTTGTTAAACTCGATTTTAACTATAGGTCACGTTTTGTCATCCACCCTCTCCACCCGGGGCTATAACGCTGTCAAGCAAGCGCTTTTTGTAATAGCCCTTCTTCTGCAGGAGAATATTATTCTGCTTCCTTGTACACCGCTTCTATTTGCATAAAACTTCTTGTCATTAAACAGGGTACTGTATAGAAATAGCATCACTTCACTGCCGTCTGGAGCATTTAGAGGACTTGAGAGTATCATCTACCTGTAAGTATTGCTACACCCAGCAAGGTTATTGTCTTTTTCTGCTATAATATGTCGATCTCACATACCTTCTAATCTTTGGAGAGTGGAAGGTCACCGAGACCGAAACGTAGTGAAAAAAAGGTGGAGGGTTAATTTCAGTCTTCGGACCTCAGACTCATGGGCCACCAGCACTATGAATATGACGGACAAAGAAAGAGGACAAAATATACAGTTCCTCATTCTAACCTCAACAATTGCTGTGGGAGACAAAGGAACAACCCTTCACTGCTATTATGTAAAAATGTGTAGAACAGGTGAATATGCATGTGACACCTGTTCTACACATTTTTACATAATAGCAGGGAAGGGATATTCCTTTGTCTACCTGGGGAACTGTATATTGTGTCCTCTTTCTTTGTCCGTCATATTCACAGTGCAGTCTCATGAATCATTGATTTGTTGGGCTATTGGTTTCATGCTCCATGCATCACATGGGTGCCGGTCTCGTTCGAATTTAGTTTTGTGGGAATGGGGTCCCATGGCCCTTTCATTTACTGCACCTGCTGTCACGTGGGCCTTGGGTCTCGCGGGACTAATTTGGTATATTGGGCCTATAGTGTTATGGGCTTTTGACCTAATGGGCCCTATGTTTCATGGACGTCCATAATCATGAGCGCCTTGTCTTATGAACCTTTAATCTTGTGGACTTTTTGTCTCATAATCGAGCATTTAGTCCATATTAACCATTCGACCAAAATAGCAAATAAACTAGGACAAAAACTAAAACAGAAGATAAGAAGCGAAAAATTATTGATAATGATTTTATTTAATTCTAAATCATTTCTCATAATGATTTAATTACTTATAAAATGGACTTTACAATTCTGACACGTACATTTTTTGAAAAATACCGTTTCTAAAAAAAAGAAAAAGAAAAAGAAATGTTGAATTGCCCCCGCAAAGATGTGAAAAACGATGTCGCATAATGCTGTCAATAATCTTCTTATCTTTTTTGTCCACAGACATCTTTTTGATAACAAAATCTCCAATATTGATGTTGATGTTTTCAAAGGACTTAATACTCTGGAGTTTCTGTAAGTATATTTCATGTTGATTCGACACTTCAAAGAGAAAATATATTGTTGATCCACCATTGTGCCACCAAAAGCCTTACAAATATATCGTTTAAAGAAGATATCGAAACCACCCTATTCTGCTGTAGCGAATAGATGTTTTTGAAAACACTGGTACTCAGTCGGTCACAGTAAATGTCCATGATACCCAGATAACTACGTAACCCCTTATTTAATTATTCCTAGGTAAGTGACGGGGGAATAGTTGTCCTCGGGGAGTCGTCTTGATACCTTAGTCATATCGACAAGACCGACAACAAACCGACCGAAAATATTACTTGACGTCTATGGCCAATAATGGGTCGGTTTGGAGTCGGTCTGAAGTCGGTTTAGCGGTGTGACTGAGGTATGACATGTTAAAAAAATACATATATTCCCGCCGTATGCAGTATGACGTATTGGTGTACTTTAAATGCTTTTATGATACTAAATAATGAAATACTGTTACCCTTTGTCTTTCATCAATAATGTCAGTTATTTTAGCTATTTTACATCTATCAAGTTGCTGCATGTATTCTGACCTTTCTCGCCCCTTCACAGTGACCTGACAAATAATTCAATCATAGAATTGAGGAAGGGATTGTTTGAAGATCAATCGAATCTTACCTGGGTGTAAGTTGATTTAATATTTTACTCCTCATTTCTTCCTACTCCAGCACGAATAATGTTTTTTTTTAATAGGAATTCACTGCTAGAATATGAAATGATTATTATTTGAATTATTCTTTCGACAGGACACTTTGTGGGCAATGTCCACAGCAGATGTTTTCAATATTGCACTTGCGATGTAAGAAGACAACAAACAAAAAAATGCGTGAGTTATCAATGATCTAAAAAGAGTGTTGACCACAGAGACTTTGAAAGAATGTAACATTCCAAGTGATGATGACGTGACGATGATGTTGATGTTGAGAATGATGATAACGATAATGATTATGATATTGCTTCTCAAAAACACTCAATGGCCCAAAGTTTATTGTAGTGACGTAGCAATACGTGAGATAGTAAAATGATTTAATCCAGTCTATTTTTGCACCTTTTCTCTTTCAGGTCTTTCTCTGACAACCCGCTGGAATACATCGAACCAGGGACTTTCCAGAATCTGAGTCGGCTAGAATATCTGTAAGTTTGTGAGCTAAGCACTGCTAGTTCGAAATACTATACAGATATTGACTATTCGGATGCGTAATATCATACATTATTTACTTTGAGTGGCACGGCTAAAACTATTGCCCAATGTCATTTCGACTCAGTAGAGGGGCATAGTGCAGTCCCCACATTACCGAGGAGCTAGTTTTACTCGCCCGAAAAATAAGCAGTCAGTATTTGTTTCATATACCGCATCCCCATGAAAATTCTTCTAAATAGATATTTTAACAAAATATGCTTGTCATAATGTATTTATTTTTCTAGTCTACGAAAACTAACTCGTATAATAGCATTATCATATAAATATAGAGCAGCTGAAAGACTAGCTAAAGTTTGTAATGTTAAGGGTTTATCCCCTGCACGTCAATTACTACATTGATAAGTTCTTTGGAACTTGTACACATAATGTCCAACAATCTAATCAATTTGCTTGTAGCCAATCGTGAAAAACTAGCATCAATCTGATGATGAGGTTATAATGATTGCTTCTTGTATAGTGCCTTACACAGTAGCGTACGCAGGATTTTTTTCAAGGGGGGGGGGGGGTTAACATTTCCAAATCGGGCCGAAAATTTCCCAACGACTCAGCGAGCCGCTGAGTAAGCGGGGGGGGGGGGGTGGGGGTAAGAGAACACTTTTTTTGGGGGGGGGGGGTCTCGAAATTTGACATTTTGATCCGTTGGGGGGGGGGGTGAGGTCACCTTTTTTAGGTCATAATTTTTTTTTTTTTAATTACAAAAACATTAACAAAAACTGATGGGGGTTCAACCCCCCCCCCCCCCCCCCTGCCTACGCGCCTACTTACACTGTGAGAAGGTTGGGTAATATTTTCCAACACTTTGCCAATAGTCGACCCAACCATCTATTGGGCAATATTTTCGTATTTTGCCCAACAGTTGGTCAAGATTTTCCCAACAAGTGGGCTACCGTAGTCGGGCAGTTGAAGGGTCATATCTTTGCCCAAGTTTTGGGCAACACACGAAACAATTATGCATGTGTGAAGTAGGGTAGTTTCGTTTACCAATACCACTGGGCAAAATATTGCCCAACAGATGGTTGAGTTGACTTTTGGCACAACGTTGGGCAAAGTGTTGAAAAAATATTGCCCTACCTTTTCACAGTGTATTATGAAGCTTATGTAGCGCCATGTTAGGCGCTAATAGCGCTCGCTCTAAATTGTCTCACAAAATTATATTGTGGTTCATTGTTTTTTCTCTCTCTCTTTCCCTCTCCATAGAAACATGGTGAATGTCCAACTGACAAATCTCGAACCAGATACCTTCAAAGGGATTACCTCCCTCAAAGGCTTGTAAGTTACGACTTCTTTATTAATGACATTTACATGTATAAATCTGACGTAATCCCGATTATTCATACCGCGAACTCCCCTCTGGTAATGGGCCCGTGTTCAATATATTTCTAATCGTACTCTAAACACGTTAAGCACTTCGTCTAGGCTTAATCAACAGATAAGAGCCAAATTGGTTAACTGCAGCTCAATTTGTCTATGTAATTTGCGTGTTCAAGAAATAAAAACCGCACTGGGCGAAAATTATACACAAATTTATAATGGGGGGGGGGGGGGGCGTGTCCGGACACTTACTAGATTTAATGCTACGTTTACACTATGTCCCCGGCGGCCACGGGAATCACGTTTCAGGCCACCGTGGATAAAACGGGATAGACGTGAGACAACGCGAGGGGGGGGGGGGGTTGATGGGAAAACGTGACAGGCCTGATAGCCGTTGATGCCGGGCCAGATTTTTAAACTGTCAAAATAATTGCCACGGCAGTCACGGTGCGGATGAGAAACCTAGTAGGCCGTAGTAAAACAGGGTGAACGCAACAAAACGAGACAGTACGTATAGGCCGTAACACAACTTGGAGGCGATTCGTAGTCTGACGGTTTAGGGTCCCGGCGCGCTAAGGCGCATTGCCTTCTTCTACGGTCTGACACAACGCACTGGTCTCAGGATACAATGAATGCTATTGTTGTTGTTGTTGATTTTAATGGCGTTTTCCATCGTTGTTGGATGATTTTTGCCATATTGCTTGGAAGGCCCTTTTTTATACCGTGGGCACAAACCTACTTCAAAGCTTTCCGGCGTCCACGTTTCATCCGTAGAAAGCCTTGACAGAACGTGACAAACGTGTCAGACCCCATCAAAACGTGACGGGCCGGCAGGGAACGTACTGACATCAGTGGGAGACTGCAGGCCGAACCCCAATGTGCCTTCGGGAACATAATATGAACCTTGCATACAGGATTCTGCATTTTCTTTTCCAAGAAATCTTTCTCCAACCACAATTTCCAATTTTACAATCATGATGTAAAATATTGTGCTATTCTTAATTTCTCAAGTTAATAACACTGGATTCTATTTTGAACAAAGTTGACGGAAACTTTGATTCTTTAAGTACACCATCAATCAGAAGGAATTCCCTCCTTGCTCTGGCACATAGCCGTCCTAACAAATTACTCCATCAGAAACATTGTTTATTGCAAATATTTGTGTACATCTTTCAGGTCGACTGATGACTACAGGCTTTGCTGTTTGTTCGACGAGACAGATCTGTGCACCATTGCTTCCTCGAACTTTCTGGACTCCTGCTCCCGTCTCATGCCAAACACAATCTTAAGAGTAGCACTGTGGGTCATAGGGTTTGGCGCCCTCATCGGCAATACCATAGTTCTTGTCTTTCGGTGTCGTACCGATCATTCAGTCAGCGCAAAGACTCAGGGACTGTTCATCTCCAACCTTGCCATAGCGGATTTTCTGATGGGAATCTACATGCTTATAATATCGTCAGCAGATGTGTACTACGGAGAGTATTTCTACCTCTACGCAGAGCAATGGCGTGGATCGGTCACTTGCAAAGTTGCAGGATTCATCGCTTTTCTATCCAGCGAAACGTCCGTATTCATACTTGCGATCATTACGATAGATCGAGTTCTTTGCGTCGTGTTCCCCTTCGGTAAACTGAAGTTTCGGGCTACTTCTGCTCGCGTTGGTGTAGCGCTGATATGGGCCATTGCGTTTGTAGTGAGCATTGTTCCCTTGGTTGTTAGCTCCTATATCAGCGGTTTTTATGGCCAGTCAGATGTTTGTGTTGGACTCCCCCTCAATGTTGAGTCTACAGAGACAGGAGAATTAGTATTTAATATCGAGAGAAGGGTGTGGGAATACCTCCAATATGAAACGACTAAGCGACCAAGTTGGGTGTACTCGATCGCCATCTTTCTCGGTGTGAATTTCTTGATCTTCATTCTCATTCTGCTCTCCTATGTCGTCATATTCGTTCACGTTCGCAAGTCGGCACGCAGTGTGGCCAATCCGGCAAGCGGTTCGGGTAGCAGTGACCGCGCCCGGGAAGTGAAGCTGGCAACACGCATGTCTATCATTGTCCTGACGGATTTCTTTTGCTGGATGCCGGTGATCATCATGGGTATCCTTTCGCAAACAGGTGCTGTCACCCTCCCGGTATCCCTCTACGCATGGAGCGTTGTCTTTATCTTGCCTATCAACGCAACCATCAATCCATATCTCTATACCTTCATTGCAATATGTGGTAGTTCAAAGACGAGATCTACCTCAAACCCTACGCAAAAGACCCACTTAACGACCGCGGTGTCTGAAACACGAGCATGATGTAGAAGTATTCAAAGTGATGGTTCAAAATCTACCACAAACCCTGCTCTAAAGATCCGTTCCCTAAATAACATATCTGAGACGCGAACATGAAGTAGGAGTATACTATCTTAATATGTCGGCTCAAAGATGAATCTACCTTAAACTCTACTTTGAAGACCCGTTATACATGTACATGACCATCATATATAATACACGAGCATGATGTAGAGATGTTCTCCTTATAACAAAATAAATAGATAATGGACCGGGGAAAAAAAAAAATCGACGGTGATTTGTTTACAGTATTCCTCAAGTAGTATCTGACTGACACCCGTTAGTTAAAAAAGAGAACAATTACTCAATGATGAATTTAGTTGATAAATATAGATAAACAGTTTTATTTAGATTGTTGAAATCATCTGGTTATAACCCCCCTAATATTAGAATGGCGACACGATTATTTGACTCATTTGTAAGACCGATATTTGTAGATGGATCAGAGATGTGGGGCGCTTTTACTGTTAATTTTGAAAAGTTAGCGAAAGCTGTAAATGGGATCTCCAAAAATGTGTATGGCATAAAGAGTGCTAACTTCTAACGGTTAAGAAATGTGTTGCAGGGGTTGTTTTACTGTGTTACTTTTTGTTTTTCCCCTTTTTTATCCTTCTTTTTCCCCCTTTTTTTCCCTTTTTTCCTTTTTTCCTTTTTCCCCTTTTTTTTCTTCACTTGGCCGCCCAAGAGGGGGGGGGGGGGGGGGTTGAACCGCCGAACCCCCTCCTAGATCCGCCCCTGTGTTGGGTGTCAATAAGAAAAGATTTTAGCCGAAGTGGAAGCATACTCTTGATTATGATTACACAAATCTGTCAAAACTTAGGAAAGTATTATGCACAATGAGAAAGATAAATACTGATTTATTATTATATCACGCTTTTCAAGAAAACAAAAGAAAGGTTGAAAAGGAAATTCTAATATTCAAATGATTATATTTCACATGAAATTGCAATGTTATTTGCAATATACTATAAGTATATTACAAAAATATACAATGATAAACGAGACAAATATAATAGTAATGACACAAGAAAATAGGAACTACATAGAAGTAGAGCTTGTTGAAGTATGAGTTCCTCAAATGCTGTTTTACAATACGTCTTGAAAACAAAGTATACATAGAAAATCAAGACGCAACAAATATGTAACCCTCAAGAAATTATAAGATTAGGGAAGGGGATTTTATTTTTAAATGGGGGAAATAGATAAAGGCAAAAAGGAAAGAAAGATGGAAAAGGAAAATGAATGATTGCAAAAGTTCTAGAAACAGAAGGTTGGATCAACAGAATGAGGGAGAAAGAGATTGAGTCGGAAGTCAAACTAACCGAGATTCATGCATATACAGACGTGTCAACAATGTAAACAATACAGCTGACCGGTGACGACACATACATTCATGCATATGTGTTTAAACATTTAATTTTCCGTTTTTTGTATAAATATGTATAGACTGGTACTTTATTTAAGAGATGGGTCCATGTCATTGCAAAATACTGTACCGGTGTAAATAATTGTTTTTTTTTGTGTAAAGGTTCGACTGTCTATAGTGGGTATATATCTCGTTATTTTTTTTTTGAAAAATGGAGGAAATCGAGAGAGGTAACTCCTAAAGTCTTACAGGAATTTCCCCATGCTTAAATCCATAATTTAGGTAAGGCAAAGTAAGGGTTGAGTACAGTGAAAATAATGATTTATGACACCAAGGTAGCTTCTTCGCAACTCAAGGGCCTTCCCTCTGACACCGTAGTGTGAAAGTTCATAAAGATGAATTTCATGGTAAATTGTGTCGAAGGTCTTTGAGGAGTCTAGAAATAAACCTTTTGTGTGAAAAGAATTATCAATTGCACTAACAATTGTATTAATGAATGTTAACATAAAATGACTTGAGGCGTATATCTGTCCAAATCTAAACTTTTTGAAAGGAAATTTATGGTTCGTGAATACACAAGTTTTTCTAATATTTTGGAAAAGGAGGTAAGTAAAGAAATTGGATTATAATTTCCCTGTTCGCGTTAGTCACCTTTAAAAAAAAAACAGGTATTACTTTGGCTCTTTTCATGGAAAAGAGTACGTCATCACAATTTTTGTTTAAAGAGGTTAAATATATGGGTTAGTGGGATGACTATTTCGGAAATAATATATTTAAGTAGTAAATTTGTTATGCCATCATATCGAGCGTTCTTTTAACTTTTTAAATTGTTAACAATATCGATAACCTCTACCTCTTGTACCGAGACAAAAAAAAATAGAGATTCAGGATTTCGACGATCTAGAAATGAATGATTTGAAGTGAGGAAGACCTGTGCAAAATTAGGACCTATATTTACGAACTAATTTTTGAGACTCTCAGCAATAAAAGCTGTTTCTTGAAAGCATGTGTTTCCGACTAAAATCTCTTAAATATCCTGCTTACTACTGGTTCTATTATTCAAGTGCATGGTTGATTAGGTTACATGTGTTTTTAATGTCATTTCTATCAAATTCAAATTGTTTAAAGAATTAATCTTTTTTGCGTAACGTAAAATACTAACAATTGTATTTTGTATAAGTCTTATATTTGTTTTCGTTTGACCCTGTTGGTTAGGACTTGAAATTGTAAAATAATATGTCTACGTTTGTAACAATTATTATGTATTGTATCGTATTATATGTATTGTAAAACAAAATATTCATTTTCCGAATAAATACGAAATACAAATACAAACAGACTCATATATACGACACACGCAACGTACTACAATCAGTATTTGCTAGCTAATCCGAAACAAAATTGGACCCCAAATTAGATTGTCTTTGGTTTGTTATTTCTATCAAATGGAAATAAAAATTGCAATTGTATTGTTTGCACTTGTGTGACCTTTCCGTATTTTGAAGGATTTAATTTCAACAAGCCTCAACCAGTGTATGTCTGTGTGCCTTTGTATAGGTCTATATTATGCTACTGGAAACATAAAGTTATATTATTATATGACTGGTAGCGGTTACATCTCTTGTTTTTGTTTTTGTTTTGTTTTTTGTTTTAATCCAATCAAAATTCAATAAGCTCCCCCCCCCCCCCCCCTCAAAAAAAAAAATCGGGGGGGGGGGTGGAAGTAAAAGACGAAAGACAAAGTCAGAAAATTAGAGAGAAAAGGCTTATACCATTTAGTGTCCTGTACATTGGTATAACGCTTATACTTTTTAGTGCTCTGTAGATTGGTATAACGCTTATACCATTTAGTGCCCTGTAGAATGGTATTATCTTTTTTATTCATAATTATTTTGATAAGGAATGAATATGACATTTGTAAATATGTTACCTGTCAATTATCTTTTTATTCATTATTATTTTGATAAGGAATGAATATGGCATTTGTAAATATATATGTCAATTGGTGATTTAAACAATAAAATAAAAATAAAATGCATCCCTGTATGAAAACAATTTCCTGGTTTGTTTTAATTGCTTTGTGTTTCAAGATGAGGTACAAGGAAAGAGAGTGAATGCATGGTCATGTAGAGAGGTTGAGATGAATTTTATTTTGTTCTTGCAAAAGATAGGAAATAAAAAGGAACATTTACCTTTGTTTCTACCAATTAATAACAGAAATTTGTGACTTGATATTTAATAAAAGATCAAATAAACAAGGATTTAATAGCATTTTCTGTATTTTTTACGGTCCAGAAATGAAGAAATAGTCCAGAATGGAATAATTTGTTGTTGAGAGTACATAAATAATGAGAGGAAAAAATGAGGAAATAACAGAAAAAGAGCGAAGGAGATAGGGGCTGAAAGTGACAAGGAGGAGAGAAAGAAAAAGAAAGAGAGAAAAAGAGGGAGAGAAAGAAGAGAGAGAGAATGAGAGAGGTGCATAATGTGGACGTGAAAGAGGGAGTAACAAGGAATTTTTTCCATTCTGGACGATTTCTTCATTTATGGACTGTAACAATAACAGAAAATGCTATTTAGTTATTTTATTGATTACATATTCTTAACCATAAGTCACTAATCTCTGTTATTATTTTTTATTTCCTACCTTTCGCAAGAACAAAATGATGTTTCTCTCGACCTCTCTTCATGACCATACCTTCACTCTCTTTCTCTCCAAATACCTCGTTCTAACACACAAAGGGATTAAAACAAAACCAGAAAGTTATATTGATATAGGCAACACGTGGTACACATTTTTATTAATTTATTGTTTGAATCAACAAGTGACACTTAACATAATCACAAATGTCATGTTTATTCCTTTGTACAGTATTCAATAGTTATCAACAACAAAAAAAAAGAATGAAATAGAGGAATAAAATACCTATACCATGCATTGAATATGCATTACACAAATAAAGGTGCGGAATTAAATGGAATAAGTATACCAACCTACAGGGCACTAAATGGTATAAACGTTGTGGATGTGTGTATGAGTGTGTGATAACAGAAGAGAAATAGAGGTGCATATAATAATGTATGTGAAAAAGAAAGAGGAAGAGTGAGTATGTGAGAGAGAGAGAGAGAGAGAGAGAGACACACACACACACATAAAGAGAGAGAGAGAGAGAGAGATGGTCATAGAAATAGAGAGAGATAGACACAAAGTGACCAATAAAAGAGGTAGGGTTAGAGAGGAAGAGAGAAAAGAAGAGTAAAAGAGAGAGAGAGAGGGGGGGGGGTAAAAGAGAGAGAGAGAGAGTACACAAAGTGCAAGGGACAGACACGGTTTTTGACATGAGAAATATGGGACAATCATTGCAGATATGAAATTCATATGAACCCTATTTCAATTTCAAAATTATGAACCCTTTTTTCATTTTCAAAATTATGAACCCTACTTCACTTTTGGAATTATGAACCCTTTTTCTTTTTCGGATTTATGAACCCTATTTCATTTTTGGAATTTGAACCCTTTTTTTTTTGGTTGGAATTATGAACCCTTTCTCATTTTCGGAATTATAAACCTTAGGAAATAGGAACCCTAATTAATTTTTGGAATTATGAACCTTCGGATAAACGAGCTTTCGGAGTAATGCAACAAGTGTTCGGAATTATGAACCCTATTTCATTTTCGGAATTATGAACCCCTAGTCACGGGAAATTAGTGTTACGGAATTATGGACCTTCGGAATGTAAATTTTACGTTTAACTGATAAGATAATTATGTAGAACATTATAAAGGAGGTGCTCATCATCCGAAGTCAGAGACTTTACGATGATGTATCTAAAACTTAAACCTACCGACAGCTATGAGTCAATTATTTTTAGAAACAGTAAAAATTGTCATGACTAAATGGGCTTCTACATAATTGCTTTGATCTCATAGTTCTCGTTTTTACAGTGTGCGTAAATACATGGGGGGGTCGCACACTCCCCCCCCCCCCCCCCCCAGCACTTGAGCGCCAGGGGAGGGGGCCCATCTCCCAAAAAAGGTAAAAATTAACCCGTTTTTTATCCCGGGCACCCCCTGGATCCGCCACTGGCTACATAAATAGCCTTTGTTTCCCCTTTCAAAGAATACTTCCACCTGTGTATCATGGAGTGCACTGCTTGTGCATAAATAAAATAATAATTATTATAATAATCAGTTTTATATAGCGCTTATTACAATCACTAAGCGCTTCCAAACTTGGAGATTATTACCCCGGCTTAAGCTGTGCTGCGATTGCGGCGCTCTAGCGTGTCAAAGAAATAATTCCTGCCAGGTATCCATTTACA